CGCTGCCGTAGCGCAAAGATGTCTGCCTCCATGGCTGTGAGACCCGCTCCTATGTAATTATAAATAACGAATTCTAAGGCAACGCAAATATTATGGTTAAGAGGCTGAGCTCATAGATGATGATAAATAACATAGTTATGTATAATATATTAAATTTCTGACTGTATATCCCTGTATTTATTACACACTGTAGCTTTAACATTATTCTCAAGAATCTGCTGATGTTGGGTGGAATCCATGCGACCCTCAACTTTAACATTCCCAATGGCAGCATTGGCAACACAGCCCCAAAGCATGATGGAACCTCCACCAAATTTTACAGTGGGTAGCAAGTGCTTTTCTTGGAATGCTGTGTTTTTTTGCCGCCATGCATAACGCCTTTTTTATGACCAAACAACTCAATCTTTGTTTCATCAGTCCACAGGAACTTATTCCAAAATGAAGCTGGTTTGTGCAAATGTGCTTTTGATTTCCTCAAGCGATTCTGTTTGTGGCGTGCTTGTAGAAAATGCTTCTGTCGCATCACTCTCCCATACAGATTCTCCTGGTGCAAAGTGCGCCAAATTGTTGAACGATGCACAGTGACTCAATCTGCAGCAAGATGATGCTGCCGGTCTTTGGAGGTGGTCTGTGGGTTGTCCTTGACCATTCTCACCATTATTCTTCTCTGCCTCTGTGATATTTTTCTTGGCCTGCCACTTCTGGGCTTAACAAGAACTGTCCCTGTGGTCATCCATTTCATAACTATGTTCCTCACAGTGGAAACTGACAGTTTTAATCTCTGAGACAACTTTTTTGTATCCTTCTCCTGAACGACTTTGTTGAACAATCTTTGTTTTCAGATCATTTGAGAATTGTTTTGAGGCCCCTATGATGAATCTTCAGAGGAGATTCGAACAGAACAACTTGCAACTGGCCATGTTAAATGCATTTTCTCATGATTGGATACACCTGGCTATGAAGTTCACAATCTTAAGGAAGTTACTAAACCAATTTTGTGTTTCAGTAAGTCAGTGAAATTTAGTTATGGGTAATGAAATCAATAAAATGATTTGGGTACCCACATTTTTGCACTTGTCAAGTTTTGTTTTAATGCATACTGCACATTTTCTGTTAGTACAATAAACCTCGATTCAATTCTGAAATATTACTGTGTCCATCAGGTATTAGATATACCAAACTAAAATAGCTGATGAAAACACTCAAATATAATGTGATAATGAAGAATAATAGGAGTGCCCAAACTTTCTTTATATGACTTTGTATATATATATATATACATACATACATACATACATACATACATACATACATACATACATACATACATACATACATACACACACACATAAATATATATACATATAAACACTAAGTATAAAAAACTACGATCATCTCCATACCTTAAGTAAGCTGGAAAGGTCATCATCTTTATGTTTCTGTAGCTACAATACAGTGGATAATGTTTTGTTACCAAACAGAGAAAAGACAAAGGAAAGACTACAGAATTGTTTTAGCAATAATTAGCAGTGCAGAGTTTCATAAAAGAACAATATACCCTTTTTTTAAAGTACGTTCTCCACTTGTGATATTCTCTGATAACAATTTCAATTCTTCTTTTCCAGTTTTTTCCATCTGAAGCAACAGCCTGTGAGAGAAAAGAAAGAAACAGGAAGTCTCAAAGAGAATGCAGGGAAAACATAAAACCATGTGAAAAAACAATGTACATAAAATTATTTGGTTGCAATTGCCACAATAGTCTGTCATTACCTCCGCAGGACGATGGACGTCTAAATCCATGTTTCCATCCAGGGGGGTAACAAAGTGACACACAGGATTTCCCCTTTTCTCCACATCTAAGGGAAGACATCAAAGCCTCAGTTCACTCTCAGGTCAAAATATAAAAACATCCATGTTTTCTATCACCAATATTTTTTCCCCTTTAATAAGACTGCACATTTTAATTCCTAAAGCAGGAGGCACTTATATAAATAGTCTGTCTGCCCATCAATTATACCACGCTTTATTAAGTGTATCCGAGTAACCTAAATTAATTTAAACACCAACATTTTGAAGATTCAACAATATTTATATTAAAATGCAATTCAAAGCACAGCTTATAAGTTTATTTAGTCGCAGATATTGCTCAATGAATATTAATAACTGGATAAAATGCACAAACAGAAGAGCTTTAAAACAAAAGAAAGGCAAACCAAGAAGACGAACTAGATCCTGATGTCTTTATTAATTACACTGTAAAAATGTAACCACATAGAAAATCCTCTATAGACTTGAGTTCTTACACTGCATATACCAGGCTCTCCATATGGCGTTGTTCAACCGGATCTTGTCTCTCCAGAGCAGCTTTAGACCTTTAAAGTTCTTCCATTTAGGAGACACCAACTTTCCACTGAAAGGTAAAAGAAAAGGTCAACATTTATCAAATCAAAAGCTTCATAGAAATAGTCAGTTTATTTTCCTAAAATTTAAATCTATGTTTGCACATTATGCTAATTTTATGTAACAAAGACAAAGTAATGTATAGTTATGAAGAGGGGAAAAAGATTAGGAAATGACTTTAACTCTTTTACAAATAAAAATGTAATATGTGCTGTAGCCTGGCCAGCAAGACTGTATTACTCTGTAGACTCAGATTCTATCTGGCTGGACCAATCACAGCTCAGAGGTCAGGACTTTACGATGTATGTGCCAGAATTACCCATAATGCAGCATTGTGTTCCTGCAAGCATAACAACAACCTGGTGACCGCAACGGAGCAATGTTGCAATCAAATTAAGAACGTAATAGAGAGTACACCTTATATCCTTAGATTGTTTAGGAGAAATGGACAGAAATCATTCACTGGAGAGTTTGACGCATTAAAATGTTTCAGACTACAAAATTACAAAAACTGACCCTGTCTCTCTATTTGTGCCACATCTGTAGTTATCTGATTGGTTATAACCATGAGGCTGACCCCCTTAGTTTCATCTTTGAAATCAAACTACCAGCTCTTTATCCGGATTAACACATATAAATAATATAAAATAATTAATACATAGCTGTGAAGTGCATATGTAACTGACCCTTTGCTACCATTGCATACACCAAGAATTAAAAGCAAATCAACTAACACCAGAGGTCAAGCCATTAGTAACTAGAGTCTGAGCACAATTTAATGTCATTAAGAATCCAGCTGTTTTGTGAAAAATGTTTCTTAGGAAGCAAACAGCATCATCAAAACTAGCGAATTGATCAAGCATCAGGATTAGGTAATAACAGAATAAACAGATCAGTATAAAAATGGAAAAAGTATGTTCCTGTAGCAAACCTTTAGGCCATCTGCCTAAATGGTAAATGGCATGTACTTA